CTGCCCAGTTTATCAGGAATTCACTCACGTGCTTGTGTCGTGTGATATTTGTTATCAGTGGCTATCTGGTCCCGCAGATAGCGGGTCTTTTATCTCATCCACACTTACGGGTACTAAAAATTGTCGCATTAGCACCTACAAGTGACCTATGAGCAAAACTAACAAGTTTAAACTCGTTCAGCCTGGGTTTTACACTCTCTAGCTGTTTCATCCTGTGAGCCATTTAGGAGTTTTTGGTGCTGGTTAACTTCCACGTAATAATACAGTTTTCAGGGCGCCGAACCATAGTTGCAGGGAGTAAAGCAGATTCCGATTGTTTCGAGTTCACGAGATCACCTAATCCTGCGCGGCGTAACGGTTTTTTAAGGAAACTAGTAGTAGCTTACGAAATATCAGAGCCAGGGTTATCTTCTGCTAACGTCTAGGTGAGCGAAATATTTTGGGTCTATACAGTTCTGCACCTTCGGGGACTGTGCGCCCACACTTGACGACGAGCCTGCCATCCTGAAACCGTCCTGTGATGCTTTTGTCGCCCAGTTGTATATTGTCTCAGAACCTTCAGTATGAGCCCTGTACAACCTATATATATATATACACCGTTGAGCCAAGAACGTATTTATGGAAGGTTTCAAGTGGCACATTCATCCATCACCCTGACACCATCGTACTACATACTTATAAGCCTTAGGGGTCTAGCAGTTATCGTCAATGAAGGTCTGAGGAGTAGATGAATGTCGAAAAGCTCACAAACAATTGCTTTCGATTTATATTTCGTCAGTGTAGACGGATAGAAGACCACTCAAAACCATGTTGGTTGTTCACAGAGGATCACATTTAGAGTAGGTGGTTCAAAACCCAGTACTCTGTCCAACCGATGCATACCACTACTCTAATAAACACTAAGGCAAACTGTCGGATTATTCGTCGTTTCCGAATCGTTTGTACCTCAAACCGCAGATCCTTGGTGACATTTCACGTCACTTCAAATTTCGATGAGCTCCGGTTACTACTGCTGCATTAGGGTAACGCTCGAACACTGTCTCAATAGCCAGATAAAACGTCATCTACCAACACGTTTACCTCGAGTGTTGACAGTACCTGCTCACACTTGTCAGATTCGTGAAGTTTCTACATGTAACAACCCTTTTTTGTCGCGCAGTGATTCAGACCGTTGAGGACATTTTAAACCCATTTGCCCCACACCGTATTACAGGCTCCGGTCGCATTCGCCACTTTGAGATAAATGTGGAGTCAAAGTGGTACGACTCCGAATCTCAATGAATGTGTGCATCAGTCTACAGCGCTGGATGTGTTTCTGAATTGCTGTGAGACTTCGACTAGCGTTGTCTAAGAATCGTAGCTTGTTTAGTTTGATATCGGCCAACCCGTCACGAGGCAGTTAAACGGCGAGTGTTGCGCTGTGCAACAGGGGCCCATCAAAGAAAGTTTAGGTCATGTACTACGTATACCGAACCATCGTTTGCCAAAGGGAGCGCTGTTTTCCGTGCCAAATTTAGAGGCATGGATAATTGTCTTCCTAGTAGAGGAGTATGAGAAAGAATACGAAAAGTCGTTGCTGCTCGTGCAACTCACTCTGCAAGATGGAGACCACATGATCCTCACTGCACCCGGTTAGAGACGCTGTAAAATCTAACTGTTAATCGATGTCAGTGGTGTTCTTGTTGTCAATTCGTATTGAGATTGCCTGAATGAGTGTCCGAATGTGTAGGCACCTCGGAATGATTGTGGTACGCTAGCACCAAGTCTCCTGCCCGTTCATTACCACTATTACTATTTCACAATGAGGCTTTCAAATAAATCCTGGTTGTACGTTAGTGTTGAATACGTTAGTGTTGAATATTTATATTATGCTATCGATCGTCATCATTGTCAGCTATAATAACCGCGTACTTGTACAGTGGTTCTAGCTGTCGCAGTTTCGTTTACCGATAATTCGGCCATATCTAAAGCTTCAACCTTGACGTGGTGGCCGGGCTTGAGTGCCGCAATGATCCCGCGGGCTACACTGGCTGGAACGTCCTTCCACTAGGTGCAACCATGCCAGGAAGGCCGAATGGGAGCAACCAGAACGCGTACTACGAGTAGTCGTGCTGCGAGGCCGTCTGGAGGCAAAGCCGTACTGCCCTCTGCGACAGGAGTGGGAAGGCAGTGAGATGTTTCCCCCAGGCGACAGCAAGTCCATAATTATGGAAGCAGCGATGCTGCCTTCCCCCGATAAAGCACGGGTTAGAAAAGGTGGGCTCTAAAAACCGCACACTCCGATCGCCAAATGGTTGACCGTTACCGGCGGCGCATCATCCCATACGGTCGAAATACTTTTAAAACCAGAGAATTTGGTGCTACTCAGAAGGCACCTGCTGTACGCAGCCGAATCAGGAATGAGACAGTAATGCCTTATTCCCTGCGCCCTCGGGTTAGGCCAACCCCCTGCAGCCGAGCAGGTC